AACTCGGGCGGCGACTGGCAAGAACAACGTGCTCTGGAAAAGGTCTGAGCAAAAATGTCTGAAATCTTTCAATGGTTCACATTAGCGGCCTTGTGTTTCATCATGCCAACGTCGATGCACAGGACCTCCCTCATTGATTTGTTGAAAGCTTTAGTAGCAACTCAATTATATATTCATGAAAAGGTACAAAGCGAAGACAGTGAATGCTGGAACTCCATCTGGTTCAACACTCCGCGCTATTCAGATTGAGAAGTTGCCTTTTCTTGATGCCAACCGTCGTGAGCTTGTGCGAATTGCAACACGGGTGAGATCAATCAAGCAAAAGTCACTCTTGGTAGCGCCTTCTGCGGCTAGTTTCACAGACTTGAAACATCCTAAAACTAGGGAAGCAAACAAGAGATCTGATAGTTGTTACAGTAAACAGTAAACTCATAACTCACAATCGCAGCAAGGAAAACATAGGAAAACAACAGGAAACCGTGGAGACAAGAAACATGAGCGAGGCCGTGGCACCATTTTGCGCTCAAGCTTCTGCTCCAGGAAATGTTCAGCATGCATTCAGCTTAGGCAGGATCCAGCCTGCATGGCTCACCTGGCTCTGCAACCAACAGTCTGGTGTGCTTTCGTTGTGAGCATGAATGTTCAATGTTTCACCCATAATCTCGCTCAAAACAGCCTCTCCTACGCTCAATCCAAAAGTATCAACCCTGAAACACTGTCTTGTGACACATGCATGTGTTCAAGCGTGTGGACTTTGTTTTCCTGCACGCCTGCTGGTGTCTATCACTGCCTCACTTCCACAGAAACATCCGTCCTGTCTGAAACCTAGCAAAGCACCCTTGCCTGCACAAAGATTGCAAAGCAACACATGCGCCTTGTGCACTGCCTTGGGGTAATCTTTTCACCCAAGAATGTGAGGGGGCCTGTTTAGCCCTACCAACAGCCCAAAATATGTGCACCCCTCAAATGATCATGTCGTCATCGCCACCATCTTCTTCCTCAATGTTGGCCAGCTCACGCTTTTCTCTTTCTCGCTTTTCTTCGGGATCTTCGGCATCTTTGTTGTCATTCTCATCTGGGTAAGCCATTGCCTTGACGGCGTCATTGTGCATCTGCAAGCAAAAGGCAATACGCTTGTGAAGGGCTTTCTGCGGCTCGCATGAGTGATACAAGTCTAGCTTCTGGTTGGACTTTACAAACTGCTGGTCATAATCGATGGTAGCATCAATGACACCATCCACGACGGCTTTGGCAACGACTCCAGCAGCATCCTGCGGAGATTCTAGGCCAAGTTTTGTGCAAATGTCCTGCAAGGAGATCTTGCTGTAGGCCAGGCTGATGCTTCGAAGGCCAGTCTTGATGACATTGTAGCGCAGCCGATTGATCAAAGTCAGTGTCTTGTCCTTTTTTGAACAAGGCCTCATATGTTTTGGTGCACTCTTTGAAGGCATGCAAATCACCCGAACGCACTGCCTGTGTGATAGCATAGTATGGTCGGAGTGGCTCTTTGAGCTCCTTCTGCATAAAAAATGAGCGCTCTGGAATGCCTCCCATCAGTAGCTCGACTACAATAGCAAGCTTGCTGGCCGCCAGCTTGAAGCCAAGGGCCACACTGGGGGTCTGTGGAGCCTTGCGAATTGCCTGCATGAGCTTGGAATGGGAGTCCGAGTATTCGAGCTGGACGGCCTTGATCTGCCCGATGTAGAACAAGTAGCGGGCATACTGCATGTTCGGCCGACTTTCGGGAAAGCTGGTCTTGGAGACCAGCTTCAAGGCTTGATCGTACAAGTTGTAGGCCAGGTAGTTCCGCAGGAGAAGATTCAGTAGAGTGGCCTGGCCCATTTGATCATGACGAAGGCATGCACTGCGATAGGCTGCAAGTAGCTCAGGTCGGATCTCTGACAAACGGCCGCAGCGCTCATACGCCAGAGAAAGGTAGAAGTATGCTCGGGCATTGAAGAAATCCATGGTGCGTCTGTTGAGGGTCTTCAGGAACAAGACCAAAGCGCTTGCTGTCTCCAAGGACTTCTCTTTCTCACTCTTGTCTGAGAGCTTTACCACTAGGCTCAGCACAGCATATGCTTCAAGTTCAGGTGCATAGGGTTTGCTAAGCTGCGGAAACTTGATCTCAACCTCTTTGGGCTTTTCCTCGTTGGGCAGTGGCTGTTTCAGACAATGTTAGCAAACAAGAAGTACAAACAACTATATAGAGAAAACAAAAAGTGCCAGCCTCCTTGGCATCTGCCATCTCCACGTCAGCTGGGGGCACTGCTGCAATGAATTGCGCTTTGTTGGGGCGCGCTGGATCAACAAACTCCTTCCAAGCAAATACTTGAACCTTCAATCTGCGTTTACATCTTTAAACAGTCCGTGCATTCCCTGCCGCTCATCTCCTCTTAACCGTCGCACCACACAGAACAAATAATCAATATATAAACTGCATTCCAGGCAATTAATAGCCCAACAACATTCAAAACATTGATGAAACATTTCTGAGATCGATCACCTCTTGCTTGACTGTTTTCACCGTGTGAAACGCTTCGCTTCGCTCCTCCAGCAAGGCCTTCAGCACCTCTGGCTCCATGGTCCGACGAAGCTGAGCGAAGGATCGGAGCACACGACCCATGACACGAGGGTCTCCTGCTGTGACGCCCGTTGCGATGGTCTTCAAGTTCTGGGCGATCGCTTCAAGGAGAATGGTCCTAAGCAAGGAACTGAGCAAACAACGAAAGAAACACTGAGTAACTCAATAGTGTTTGGAATGATGCTGAGCAGTCCTGGGGCTCTTTGGAGGTTCCTCCTTTTCCTTCTTGGTGTCCTTTTTTTCTTCCTCTGTGGCGTCCTTCATCTCAACATCTTTGGTTTCCCCTTCTTTCTTGCCCTTGGCCTCTTCAGGCATCGCAACAGCCTGGGACCTATTTCGGGCAAATGTTCGAATTTCTACTTGAGCCTTTTTGAAACGGCAGCGTCCCCCGATCTTGCACGAGAAAGGGGTGGAAACCATGCCAATGCCATCGCAAAAGAACGTCTTTCTTCAAAAGCCAGTGACAACCAAAACAATACAGTGTATTACACCCGAACCAGCTGTGACAGAAACTGTTAGTGCATGTCAGCATTCCAAAGGGTCAATTGCACCCAAGAGCTTCGAAAAACAGGCCGGATTGGACTTTGAGTTGAGTTCGTTATTTTGCTGATCAGCCAGGACCTAAAACGACCAAAGCTCAGAACCATTGAACTGTCGTTTCACTGCAATGATGCTCTCGCAAAGACCCGGAGTGCTCGGCTGCATTAATTTTGATTGACATGTCCAAGTTTGTCCAGCATCACCAGGGCCCTGTCGATGATTGAACTTTCTCTCCAAGGCCATCGACGAGCTTGATGCCGAGCTCACGGCAAATATCGGCCTGGAAAAGGAAACCATATATGTGGGGATTGACGGGAACACTCGCGCATGAACACACCTACCCACACCCAACTAGAATCCGTCATGCGTACATGCAGCAAAACTATCATATCTGCCAAGCCTCTGGTACATCTTCGTTTTTGATGTCTCCGCCTCTAGGCGCAATTGGCGAGCACGGCAACCATGTCTCACCAGCGTTCAGTTGCAAGAATCAACAAATATAGGCACCCGAAGGCTGAGAAAACTGCCGTTTGTGAATACATCCTTGCAGAGGAGCATTGCAGCAAACAGTCAGCACAGCTGTGCATAAGGACATGCCTATCGAGCATGCTATTTTCTTGTCTAAGTTCAAGTTGCATGGGGCCACCCTGTACACTCGAGCTTTAGGACCCTGTGTGAGACAACAAGGAAGGCGGTAACTCTTCCCGTTCTTGCCAAGCATCTGGGTGTAATATTCTCAGGGTTCGTCGGACAGTCTGGTCCTAGAACACATGATTTAGCGGCGAAAATGGATGAAATTATATATATATATGTATATTAAATTGTATGTGCATACATGTAGGTAGAAATAGAGAGAACAAGTATCTCCAAATGATCAAATGATCTATTCTGAGCCTTGTCAATTGCCTCGATGGCTGCATCAACACAAGCAAGGGAGCGTACCAATTTGACTCGCTCACGAGCAGGCCTGAGTAATGATGAATTAAACATGTGAAAGGACCCAAGCCCATGCCTTCCCCACAGTGTCAACCGTCCTCTTCTGTCAATTTCTGGACTCTTTTTATGTATGCGCATGTGTGTATATATGTATGTTACAGTCTATGTACATATGAACATTTAGTAAGATACACGACATAAATACACATTCTTTCTACATGATCCCCGTACTGACTTCCATGGAAGCAAGCCTCATGTAAAAATATGTCAAGATGATTCTATGCCTTCATTCAGAGGAAAGGATGGAGCTGCTAGGCCACGAGCATAAATGGCTGACCTTTCTTGTCTGCCGCCTGTTTAGTCGGCAAGTCATGAGACACTTCCTTTCACAGAGCTGCTCAGAAGCATAGAATCTGCACCATGCCTGAATGTCATTGTTTACAATCACCAGGAGCTTGTCGCCCAAGTCCTGCAAAGTAGCTTGAGCGGACCCAATTTGACACCGTAAGAATTAAACATTCTAGCGAAGCAAAGCGGACAAACTGCTGAAGACTGGCTCCCGTGATCTTTCGAGATACTCGATGTGGCCGTAGTGCAGGGGGTCAAAATATCCTGACGCAACCACCACCTGCTCCAAACACAAAGTCGTCTTGGAGTTGCATGGAAACAAAAGAAATAACCAAATGTAAAGTCGGTGCAGGTTTGAAGCTTTACGCCTTCTGCGACATCCAAGATCATCCAAGTCTGCCACCTAACACACACACACACACGATACTCACACATATACTCTCGGTGGTATGCGCTTGTGGCAAAGTTTGTCCCAAGAACTGGGGAGGACCGCCTTACTTTACTTCGAGCTGGCTCGATCTGCCTAGGGCCTAGGGTGGATCTACTAATCATGGAGCCAAAAGGGAACGGAAAAAAGCTGGCATGAAGCAACATCGTGCTGCTATGTCAAGCAAGTTGAGCTCTCCATCGCAGCATCCTATATGCAGGACTCCTGGGAATTTGTCTGAAGCTGCCACTGTGAGTTCACGAGCACTTTCCAAGTTCTTTTTCAGGGCCGGCTTCCGCCATGTTTCAGGGCCCAATTGCCAGGGACAGGGTGCGACATGTTCTTGGTCCAACCACCCTCTACGAGTTGCTGCTGCATATTGCTGCATATGAAGCATGACAGCTCGAATTGAGTCTGCAGCCCATGTCACCTGACTGTCATCTGATCATAATTCACTTCTTCGACAATCTTTTTGGGAGTGCTGGGATTCAGCACAACCTCAGCATGGCGACTCCAGTCTGTTACATGTCATGTGTGCATGGAAGCCTGTTGGGATTGCTTTCTTTCTGCCTCCTAACATTTCGAGTTCCTGTGCAATCCCCTCCCCGACCCAATGCAACATACCATGAGCTTCGTGAAACAAACATCAGTTTTAGGTGGGGCGTCGAGAGACTTTGCCCTACAGCAGCGAGAGGGAACAATACATTCCTGTACCGCATGGTGCGGTATTTCCCAAACTATCCCTACTGAGCTGAATGCACGGCGTTGTCATCTAATGATTGAGGTGTCCGATCAAAATTGGAAGCTCTGTTGATGCTTTTCCATGGTTTTCCCGCAAACATTCCAAAGGAAAGCCACCCGAGAGTCAAGAAATGTGATGACAGACTTACAGTATATAGACATATTTCATCGTCGGTCTCACGCCCTCGCCAGCATCGGGGTCCCTGGCATCATTCCACTGCCTAGACAGAGCGCTCGCATTAAAGCGAAGCTGTTTCAGTTTGCACGCAATGGAGCACCTCCGGATGAACTCATTCCCAAACTTGAGTCGAAGTGGCAAGGGAAGCCTCTGGTCATCCTAGCCCAAGCAATTGGTATTTCATGGTATTTCTTCATATTTCTTCTACCTGTCTATTGGAGCATGGAGTTTGCTCAGCAAGTCCTGTCGAAGAGGGGTCTCGTAGTCCTCGCCAAACACCAAGTGCCAGGTAAACCTTGGAGGGGTGGACGGCTGCACAAAATCTGCCCATGGTGAAGCCCAAAACTTGAAAACACATCACAATACATATATATATATATATACACATCACATTTACATATACATCACATATCTAAAAGGCCTCACCGCAGTGTCCACAAACTCCGATACGTCTGGAGCTCCGGACTCCATGCCATAGCAATGCGTGGAGCGCTTGACTTTACCTAACGCATGCCAGTTGAAATGAGCCGATGTGTGCCTGCTCGAACCTGGTTGCAATTCGTTTCTTGGTCCGTTTCTGCTACACCAAAACTTCCGATATATGTTATAGGTTCCTTGTGGTTCCTGTATGGCACATTTAACCGTTTTCCAGCCCCAGTCCCAGCCCAGCGTTTCCGCCCACCAAACAAGTTGGCACCGTTCGGTAAAGCTTGCAGCACTTGCGTGGTTTGCGGTTATTAGCGATCTTTCTTCATGCACTTCCGGGTCAAGTGTGAAGAAATGTAAAATAAATCGCCCTGCCACAGCATGATGACAACTTGGCTTGGCTGCAAATTTTTTGAAGTAGGTCGTAATAGAGTGAACTCTATACTAGGATGCATCTTTACACTTCTGGCAAGCGGCCAAATGCGTATATAATGTGCAAACAAACCAAGCCAAGTCGACCAAAGCTAAACGAAACCGAAAGCTTGATCACGTACACATCATGCACAAAATAGCAATGTGTGGCCCTTCCCTGATCCTGATTCTCACTGGAGGACAGGCACGGGCATCTTTACATCAGTATATACTGGTGGTTCAGGGTCGGTGAGCAACTGGATGAGGATGGACGAGGATGGGTGAGGAGAAGGATGGATAAGGATGAGAGAGGATGAGGACGAAGCTGATCTTTAAAATGAGGATAGAGTTAGGATATGAAGAGAGGAGCTTTTGGCTGGCTTGCTGTCTCGCTTACAAAGGTCATTGGAAGGCGCAGGCCGCAGGCATCAAACATTGGATGTCCGGCTTCTGTGATGAGAACAACCCTCTTGAACAGACCGGCAGCTCTTTGTGTAACCCGTGCTCCATGACGCCCAAACCACGAGATGTTCCAATTCAATGGTGAAAGGAAGAACAAAGACAGAAAAAGACTGAAATCAAAGAACAAAGGTCAAAAGGCTGATTTTGTGTAAGAGGGAGGCAGGGCAAAAGCTTCCTTGAAGAACCTTTATCTGCTTGCATGCTGCCTTTCCTCAGCCTTCTCCCTCTTGCTACTTCTTTCTTGCCTCCGCCTTCACGGCCTACCCAAAAAAAAGAGAGAAGAAACACATTGAAAATGGAAGAGCAATAAAACAAAAACAATACAAGGAGCTAAAGAGCTAAAAAATGTGAGAAAACAAGGTCACCTCACTGACGAATCTCTTGACATCTCTTGACGCTAAAGAGATGTCCCTTTTGACTAGGCGCAGTGGCAGGACCGGTGTTACGACCTTTTCAAGACTTTCTCTCCTGTCACCCTGAAATATGTGTTTCCGTTAGTTTCTTCACTATATCATATATCATGTAGTGTGACACAAAGAACTCAAATCTCTGGCCTGGAAAGCACAAGTCATGCTCCAATGTTCCATCCACCAACCTCAGTCCCGCTGAGGTGGTATATACATAACTTCATCTCTTCACGCTTGAGCATGGCATAGTGGCATAGCTACGCTGATCCTTTTCCAGAACCATCAATGGCCTCAGCATTCGCTGGTAGAATTCCACTGGCCGTTCGCGAACCTAGCCACAGAAGGACGGTGTCACTGAAGCACGCAATGAACAAAAAAGAACCAGATGATGAAAGAAAGTGGACGTCGTAACAACACCAAAGCTCTGACAGCTATGAAGCTGCCTTCGCATCCTGGACAACAAACTGCGCACAGCAATATGGTCCAACCTCAAATTCTCTCATATGAGCGTAAATGAACCAACGAGACATAATGAGACTATATAATGCTAGTTGTCAGGAATCAGTTGAGAAGATTCAACTATGAGGTTACCTACAAGATCCTACAAGCAGGAACACCCGGTGATTATTCTGCTTTCTAATTCATGATGTTTTAATGTCTTTTTTCATATCTTGTCTGGCCTCCGCAGCCGCATGAGACATTTCACTCACACTTCACCCGCTCTGAACATGCTGCATCTGGGGCCAAGGCCGCATCTCGCATTTGCTCACCAAAAATTGCCTGAAGAAACAAAGCCAATGGTCAACACATGTCAACACACTCTACCGGCGGAACGGTTTATAATATGCTCAAGAATCCTTGAAGCCGAGCAAAAATATGTCGCCTCATGCACTGCATTTAAGCAGGGTGTCCACGACCGAACATGCCTGTAAGCGGCATCTTTCAAGGGCATGGGTCCATGCAAAGAAGCGTGGACAAGTTGACAAGCAATATACAGATTGATGGCCTGGCCCCATTCAAGCTCAAGAAAGGTATTGCCTGAAGCTGCGAAGCTATCAGAGCTGCACTAACAAGACACAGCTAACGCTTGTGCAACAGGTTCAGTCATTCGATTGTAGGGAACCCGAAAAAATCCCCAATGAACAGCAACTAATGGGCTTGCACTGGCAGCCAAAGGACTGAAGTGATCAACACAAGGCAACCTATGTACAGAAAGCGTTGACATGTCGACATCCGTCTATATAATCAACAAGAAGCATCTCTGCAACATATTGTTGATTATTTTTGCTGCGCGATAAGGCTCTGTGCGATAGTCCCTTGTGTTTCAACCTCAGCCTTTTCACATGCAGTGATTGCTGCCGTGAAGGTGATTTCATTGGCGATCGTCCGAATCGGCCGGGTTCTCAGGTCGCAATTGAGGAGCTGTATGCCTCTCTGCCACTGTGCTCCCTTTGCCAATGCATTTGCAGCAGTATTGTGGGTTACCAGGCTTTTTTGTAAGGATGCAGCATTGACATCTAGAAAGAGCCCAAGGGCCAGCTCCCAGAGTCGTGACGGCCCGCAGGCATTAATGGCAATATTCACAAGAGTCACCCGCTGCAAGCCTAATTTGACGCAGGTGCACCTGGCCTCGCCCAAAATACCCAAGGTCTGCATCCACTTGGTGGCTTCCATGCAAGCGCCGGAGAAAGCAGTGAAGCTCAACGGGTCTGGATCCAAAGCTCTGCAAACAAGCTGTCGAAACAAAGTACTTGCACAGCGCCATGCATGACCAGTACCCAGAGCTTTGAGCAACGTGTTTGATGTGACTTCGCCCAGCCTCAACAATCTAACCATCACAAAATGGACAACACTCATAACTTTAGGTGGTTTAAGGGTTGGGCCTTTAGGCAGGGATTCCTTAATATTTGGTGGGTGTGTGCAGATTCGTATGATCGTAGCAAGTAAAACGCATGCACTCAAGTGTCAGGCATTGGCATCGAGTAGTTGACACTACCAATCTGAGAGCATGAACTCAAAGCGTACTGAATCACTTAAACGAAGAGCTCCAAGCGCTTGGACGTGCAAACCTTGAGAAAGGTTAAAGCCCGACTCCAACGTCCCATCTCGCAAGCGCTGATTGCTTGAATCACAGATCCACAAGACGCCTGGCTCATGGGAATTGCCACTGCAAAAGACCCGAAAAGCACCTCAAGAGCCCTCAACCACTGGTGACCGCTTGCACTCAACACTGCATTGCAAGTCAGCACATTCGCCTCCAACTTCCACAACTGGATGTTTCTCTGTAAGGCAGCGGCAACTTGCCACCGCGCAGACTTTCCACATAGAGATGTCCCTCCTGAGATTGTGAAAGTGCTTGCCTGCAATCCTTTGGCACTCAAGTCCTCAATCAAATCAAGTCCCACCTCCCAGCTACTCTGCCAAGAATTTAAAGCAGAATTATACGTGATCGAATCCCAAGTTCTGCATGCACAAGCGGTCAATTTCTCAGCAACCTCCAGGACAAGCTGCCACCGGGCTTCGGTGCTTCCGGCCATGATGGTATTCACAGAAACCAGGTCTGGTTCGCACAAGTGTGAATCGACTAAACAGAATGCCCGGTGCCAAACGCTCCCGTGTAAAAAGGAAGTCGTGATGGAATTGCACAGGACATTGCTGCGGAATGCCTTAGGTGAATTCATGAGGCTTGTTGAAACGAACCAGCGGCTGCAGCTTTGACATGTGGAGAGCAAGGCGCCAAGGGAAACCAAACTTGTCTCCACTGACAGGGTGCAGCACCTGCTGAAAACAAACAAGGCCATGCACCACATCTCTGATCTGTCACATGCGGTGATGACAGCATTGAATGAGATCACATCAGGCTGGATCTTTACTGAGGAATGCTCGAAGCCATTGATGCAGAAACTCCACTTGAGAGTAGAACTTAGTGCTGCATTGTACACGATTCTGTTCAGCTTATGTCTTGCCGTCAAGAACCTTGTCACCGATACAAGAGATTCTTGCCACAGCCGCCGCCGTCCAGTGGAACGAATCAGTGCGCTGCAACTTGCCACATCAGGTTGCAATGATATGCGGACCGCCGTTGCACACAACTCAGCTGCTTGGCGCCAGTGCTGAGCCTTGTCACAAGCACTTAGGATTGCATTCCAGCTGTAAATGTCGGCGTCATTCTGGCGGCAAGATCCCAACTCTGTCAAGCAATGCAGTGCATATGGCCAGCTGACATGAGCAGCATTGCTCCGGTCCATGCAAGTCCTGCAAGCTTTGACCGTGCCGTGACTGAAACTGCTCCGGGGCCATCATTTCCACCGACCAAGCCGTTGCATGCCATGCTTAGCTCAAGGCTTGCTGCGTGAGACGACCTCTGAAACTGTGCTTTCACATGCAGTCCAACTGATGGATATGCCTGGCGGAGTGCCATGTGGTCTATGGTGTGCTTACTCGTGTGCTTGTGTGCTGCACATCCTGCATAGTTCAATCGTGACATCCCGTGACTAAGTAATCAAATGTCACCAGTGAAGGGATATGTCAACCTGGCATTTCAGCAGCCAATGAACTTCAAGTCAAGTTGATGAAAGAACTGGTCTGGTAATATTGTACGGAAGGCAGCACAGAATGATAATATGGGTAAAGGATGGAAAAGGACTCATGCCGAAGCATGCCTTGCAAAGCAAAATGGTTCGTGATGCTGGGCTGCTGGGCACAAGGCAGAGGTTCACAGGGAGCGAGTGCGAATGAACCGTCACTGCTTTCGAGTCCAGTTATCAAACCCCAACACACAAGCCTCAGAGCCTCAGAACCAAGCCCTGCAAAGTATGTGTGGTGTTACTCTAGTGCGTTGTGCGTTGCTACAGATCACCTGCGTTCTTTAGGTTATTATGATGCATTATGATGTTTATTGTTCATTACATTCAGAGCCGGTCTTGGGCTCCAATGGGTTTGTGCAACCTCAGGTGGCCGATCTGTAGAAAGGCTCATCATCTCAGACTCCACTAAATACCGCACATAAGTAGCGGATGATATCATCTTCGCAACATTGTGCAAGTACCTGGCAAGAATGAACCGCGAGACTGCGAAATAATTGAGAAAGGCACGCGACAAAATGGGGCACGAAAAGTGCAAGTGCTCTTGAGGATCAGCCTTGCCACGACCAGTTTGGGAGAAGATGTGAAAATGAAAGGGACATAAAGGGACCAAAGGGGACAAGTTCTACTTCGGTGCTGCAACAACGCCTGCATGAAGACAGTGAACGTTGCCAGGTTCCAGTAGTTGTTGACAATATGTGCCCTGGCCATCCGCGTTTCGCGTCTTGACAAATCTCAAGCATGTAACTGAGGCATTCGGAACGTTTACCCCATTGTGTGCCATCAGGTGCTGTGCACTGTGCTGCGTCTCTCTGTGGGCGCCGGCAAATATCCCAGGCACTCATCACCTCGTGGACCATCCACTGGATCCCGGCCTTGACTGCAAACAGTCCGGCATAACTTATGACCACAAAATTTGACATCGGGGACTTGCAATTGCATGTAGCTAGCCATGTAATTAAACACAATATGCACATCTGGGCCTCGTTGTGTCTTGCTAGTTTGCTAGTGTATGAAGATGTGCAATTAGTGCGTGATTTAAAGATATTTAAAGTAATTAATCAATAAAAATGTATAGGGGCACTCCCTAGACAAAAGGTAAGACTCACAGGGTACTGCAAAAAGGGGAGTATGCGCACTGACTTCGGTGAACCCACTTGCAAGTCCCCAACCCTTCCCCGAACTTGATCGAAGCAAACAAGGTAATACCAACCATTGCAAGGTGCACGGGACACAATCAATTCGCGCAAAGCTTCTGCATGAAAACTCAAGGTTTTTCCACATAATAACCCAAACTGATTCGGCGAACCGCTTGCGACTTCGGATGCTCGGCTTCACTACATAGCCCATTGGCTTGCTCCAGCGTAAGTAATAATTTCCCCTCCTGACTGTCTAGTGACTAGTGCAAACGGCGTGACCCCACACTCAAGACAAGATGCAGGATCTGGTGGAGACAACGAAGTGCTGCATCACTGCGCCTGGCATTGGTTTTCGCATGCAGAAAGAGCTGAAGTATGCTCAAGTAGTCAGCAGTGCCAGAAAATCTTGGCTCCTCCCCACCTGAACAATGGGACAAGCACAAGTTGAGTCATGTTGAGTAGTCAGGTGCCATAGCTTTCTCACTGATGATGCGACATGGCAACATTGCCCTCACACAGTAATATCTGGGCAGGCTACATTTCTCGTAAAACGTGAGCTGTGAGCCTCAATCTGCTTGTGCAGCAAGCAATGCAAGGCAAGTACAATTGTTCATTCTCAGCGCGGGTATCAAGTGGGTTCAATGGGGTAATTAAGGCATTGAGGCCGTGTTGTACTAGCCTACTAATAGTAGTACTAGCAGCCCGGCCAGGAGGAGTTATGCCCAAAAGCTCTGCCTGTGGCACACTTCTCAAAGATGGCGAAAGAACCACAATGTTCCGCCAAGCTCAGACTGGCGGGGGGGTTGATTCCCTTCTTACCTCCTTACCAAACATGCACAGGAATGGCTGGCCAACATCTGGACAAACGACATGTTCGCCTTCCTAGTGGCATACGGTCGTAGCATATGCTTCTGCAGAGGTGCACTCAGCAAAAGGAGCCTCCACCCAGTCCAAGGGCTCTTTGCAATGCACGACAGCAAACTCCAGCGAAATTGCCTTCCATGTCATCGCTTGACTTGTGTGACTAAGAAAAAGGAAACCAAAAGCTTGTGTGGATATGACCCTGAATGCTTGGAACCCCACGATTGAAAATGGGCAATGCCTTTTCTTGAAACCAGGCATCCGACACCACGCGGTCCACCAAGCAGGGACGGATACGTTCTTTGCGCCTGGGCAGATTGCACCAGCCGCGCTCAAGTCAAGATCAGCGAGCAAAGGGACTGAAACAAGATGTGGCTTGCTACGCACAGCCTGAACGACCTGAACAGGATACCCGAATACTTCTGTGTCTTTCTGAGTATGTGTGATATCGTGTGACTGCTGCATTCCCAAAGTTACGAGCAGTGTGTTCGTTGCATTCGGGCTAATTATGATCGATACCTTTGATGGCTGCTGGACAGGCATGGTAGAGTAGAGACAGCCCAGCCTCCAAAGTGGCACTTTCAGTGGCATGGAGTCGCGCTATTGCCTGGAGACATGAGTTAGTGAGCAACCTTGTGGAGCAAACAGGAGCCACCACCCCGTTGCCACTCAAGGAATCATGCAGTTAGCTCCATTTGGTGCAGAAATATCGACCGATGCAATATAGCAAACAGCCTCGCGATAGGGCCACACTGAAGTCTCCTTCAAAATGTGCTGTGGCTTTGCTGTTAGGACCAAAGGTGTGTGGGCACACGCTCATCAACATTCCATGAATTGAAAAGGGTTGGCTCAAACACTGAGTGCCAAGCAGCTAAGATTGGCTTCACCAACTGACAGTCATTCAGTGCTAAGGTTGGATGAGATCTTCTGCACTGTGAAATGCTTCACCCTTGAAAGCAGTGCCTCATTAAGCTCATCAACCATCTGCATGGCCTGAGGCGTAGAGGTGAAAAGGAACCAGGCGATCAGCTGTGCTTCAGTGAAAAGCATTGGATCCGGGCGATGCCGGAGTAGGTGTATGCGTCTTGATCACCCATGGGGATCTTGGCCTGGAACAACATTATCTTTGGACCAGGCACTGAAACCACATGAATTACGGCCTCTGCCACCAGCAGGTAGGCCATGATCAAAGGTGCCTGGGCATGTTCCCATCCCAGTGCAACTAAGACCACCAGTCAAATCTGCAAGTCGATAAATTCAACGGCCATGTCTCCCTGTTTTTATCCAGCAAGCCGCTATGCCATCACTACACAGACTATACATCTGTTTTCCAGAACTCTAGGAGTGGATCAGCCCAGCTACACCGCACCCAAAGAGATTTAAAGTTTTCTTTGTTCAAGCACTTGATCAATCTCCCTACCATCCGCGTCAGCAAGCTCAGTACCCCTTCTCTACGTCAATGCCTTACGTTTTGGGCGATGGGCATCAAGCAACACAAGCAAAAAGGACAGAACCAATTTGTTCGCCTCAAGTCTCGATTCAGCTACATCTGAAACCATGTGTATCAGGGCAGGTGCCAGACTAGGATGGACCTGCTGTGCACCCTTGCGCTTGCCTTCGCAAGGTTGAAGCTAGTCAGCTGCAATACATTACACAGCAATTATACGACTGTTGGCATATTCTATATTATGTTCTACTATATTAGATGCACGCACGCGCACACGCACACACACACACAGATATATATATATATAGACAATAATATCTAGACACTTAGATATTTACACATTGCCAAGGAATGCAAGGTCTTGCAAGGTTTCAGGAGAATCCTGATTGCACGAGTCCAAGCTACGATTTGGCATGGAGTCAAATCCATGGGTGACAGCTGTGTTAATGAGCTCTGCCAATGCTGCCATGCGAAGTCGCTCAGTAGCAAGCAGGCCTCGGAGGCGCCGAGGTCCTCTTCCGATCCTCAGAATCCTCGTTTGATGTCTCTAAAGATCTTAATTACAATCTCTGACTCAATCGTCACTCCAAATGTATCCAATCTCTTCACAGGGTTTTGACCAAAAGGTCACTGAGATGGCTGAGTCATGCTGAGTCTGAGTTACCAACCAACCGAACCCGCTCTGTGGGGCGACATCACCAAGTTGTCCAGACCTGGCAAAGCATTCAGATGGGTTGACAGCGCTGACCTCTCTGCGCATTCCATTGGACACTGACAGCACTGACAGCACCTGCAAAGTTGAATTTCTCAGACACAGGGGTGTTGTTTCTGCTTTTGAAGTCTGGCGGGTACTTGTACCAGCAGTCAACTCCAGCCTAGGGCACAGCCGGGCACAGTGCACACCACATCATTGAGACATATTTAAAGTCGTCAAGCAGAATGCGATGTGAGTTGTCTCAAATGTTTTGTTAAGGGCATTGTTTATTTTGGAATTTGGACTGAGTTTGGACATCCCGTGCTGCTTTCCAAAGAAAACCCAAAATGACAGTCTTGGATGTAAAGCACTTGTCAATCCTTGTAGAAAGCAAATGGTGGATTTTCTCAAAGCGAAACAATGTAGCGTCCGATGTATAACGAAAATGTGATCAGTATGGCCACGTCACTCCCATAATGCGACCATCTTGCAGTGCATGATAAAGGGCTTCCTCGTTTATGACATCGGCTCCTCAATCTCACACGGGAAAAGGGAATATTAGAATTCATCTGGTAACGTAACTCAGGAATTGCATGCATGTTCTTCCACCGTATGAAAAATAAAAGGCTAAGTGTTTCATGTCAAATGCTTCTCGAGTCAAAGCTTGTTAGACCCAAAAGCCAAGCGCCGAGCTACTTCCCACATTCACAATGACCGCTTTGTCAGGCAGCAAAGCCAGCTCCTTTGTGTTGATGAGCCCTTCCGTCTCGGCTGCGTGGGGAACACAAACGAAGAGCATCCTCATTGGAACAGAGCACCGGCGAAAGGTGTCTGATGTCTCAGGGCCTTCTGTAGGTCTTTGGATGCCAAAGACCAAAGAGATCGAAGATGGGAAACACACGGGGACTGAAGGTTTCTTGCCCTGTCAATTCCTGGTTGTGCAGTGGTTGACATATGTTGACATCATCCCGTGTCCACACCACAACGACTGCCTGGACTAGTCACGCACTGAATGACACAGACTCGTCACGCGTGTCGAGACTCTGAGCATCCGGGAGCAACTCGTGGAGGGCAGATGCTTCACGCACCACAATAGATCCTGCGAGCATTGCTGGTTTGCTTGTCTGCTGCCTTGTGCGTCTCCGCCCATGAGTCTCGACGTCTTGAGTGCAAAATGTTCATTGGTGAAGCAATCCAAGGTGCACTTCACTTCTAATGAGGATTCCATTGACTATCCTCATGGTAAGGAAAACTCTTCGCAGCCTGGCTCTGGCTGCTGGCGGTCGCCCCCCGACTTTCTCGTGGCGATGACGCGCATGTTCATCGCCGCTAGGATCTCGAATCACCACACGAAGGTGGACGGTTGCAACACGTCGCCACACTCGTTAAAGCAAGTTGCACGTGAAACTCTGCGCCCAACTTCTCCATAGCCCAGCCTGGCTGAGCCAAGTCATTAGCCACAAAAGGAACAGGCGTTCCGCTGACATGTTTGAAAGGATGGCCATTGTAGTGGTGCCTGATCATCATTTGGAAAAGCAGGTCACGTTTCAAGGCCAAGTCGCACTAGAGCCGTTTGTCCATCTAGGCCCAGTTGGAACATGGGATCTGGATCTCCGTAGGAGGGAATGCCTCGTGGGCTCCAGTCGCCCTGAGGGAAAGTGCTCAGGGAGGCAGCTATGAAGGCAATGAACCTCCTTCAGCCTCTCCCATAGCAGTGCAAAACAGCTCAATGACACCATGACCATCCAGATGTTCAGAAGCCCCAAGCTTTGTAGCAGGAAAGGTGCAAGAAAAACAGAACGATGAATGACATCGTATCATATTGAAACTTGATGTTTTTTCAGTGCCCGCCAGAGGTGCCTTCCGTAACGAGCGATCAGCTGGCAACAATTGCTTCGCAGCAGCCAAGCCCAATGCCACTGCCATCTCCTTGGTCTGAGTTTCAATATACTCACAAATATATATATGTATATAAATATATATTTTTTTCTTTAAATATGTTTTTCTTTAAATTTGTGTGTTTTATTTTTATATATTATAAGCTTGTATAGTAAGGTTGTTGTCCTTCCATTCTGCTTGGAGCTCCTCTTGAATCTTCAGCAGGGGATGGAGGCTAATGAGCGGCTAATGAATACACCAAGATGGTTTGCCTCCTTCGGTCACTAGAAGCCCTCAACGCAGTATGGTATGCGCCGGCTTAGAAATGCTTAGAATATCTAGGAATCTAGGAATCACTCCACCGGCAAGACCTCACACAACTGGCTATCACATTCCCTTCAATGTTCACCCCCATCCATCTTTTTGGACCGCTGTGCAATGCTTGAGATTGTCGCGCATGTCCTGAACAAGTCAAAGCCTGAACCACGAATTTGCCAATTCACGTGCACTCTATCACCAAGACTTGATGATCCTACAAGTGTTCAGAGGCCTCCCTCAGTGAGCTATAGACTTCCTGGAAGCGAAGATTTGTCACATCATAGCCCTGCAAAGACCGGATCTGCCAACCTTCCTCCACGCCTAAGTCACTGGCCTGGCTTCCAGGCCTGACGTGCTTCAGTGTGATTGGCACCTGCCTGTTGAAGTCCAAGCCCAGTGGTCGCCTCGTAAAGTAGATCGTTCTCCTCGAGCCGTCGGGTAATTGAAAATCCACCTCCAGCAGCTTCGTTTGGATCGTTCTGTCAACCACATACTCCGCAAGTGACTCTTCCGGCCCTGTAGGGCACACAGCGGCAGTACTTTGGAGGATCTTCGTAGCGTCAATATCCTGTTCACAATGGCAGGAGCTACATGACAAGCCCATGGCTGCCACCGCAGTGCGTTTGCCTAGCTGAAAAGTGTGTTGATATCGATATCTTTATATAAGACTTGTATCGCTGCTGTTTACACGCTCAGCTTTTGTTGGCGTGATCTGATTCCCCAACATCTGACTTCTTCTGAAGCCTGCGGTATTCTATTATACTATATAATATTATATGCGTGCACCTATTTTTATATACGCATATATAATATATATATATACACCTGATTGCACATGGGTCTGTGTCTATGGGCATCTGGGGCAGCTCCACTAGAGTCACTAGAGGGCAAAATGCAGCTGAACACAATGATCATAAATCGACGCACCATGACTCTTTGCATCTTTTTGCAAAGTAAAAGCCCTTGCTAAAGGTTCAAGCTCCTTAGACTGCGTAAAGTGACTTGAAAGCAAATGGCAGAAGACCCAACAAGTTGTAATTGGAAAGTTCCAGCTATTAATTCTAACAGCTTCTTGTTACTACTAGTAAGGCACCTGTTACTAGTAGCGTGGCACTTGTTACTACTATTAATTCGATCCTTCACTCCTTTAGACTCCCCGGAGCATAATAGAGAACGCACCCATGTGCAACATCAGCCCAGCAGCAGCCGTCGTTGACGAGTTGTGATGCCTTAGCGATTGCTGCACGGCAAACCTTGAAGGGTACGACATTAATTATCCATATTGTGCTAGGCCAGGAGCACCCACCTGCTCTTCTAGAAATGTCTGAGGATGACACAGTATATCGGACGTGTGTCTACACATCTCTGTAATGTTAATATACTCAGCAGGCCACCTTCGGCGCGGTGCTGCTTCTAAGGGACACATTGTGTAGCCGGAGCCCGTTCTTGATAAAGCCAGCATCAGTCACCAGATTTTTGGTTGCCACTGGTAAACCGGCAAAGGGAATCACCAGGACCTGTGAGCACACAAGTCAACAAAGCCCTTTTGGTGATTGACAACTGGAGCGGCCTTCAACCCACTGCCACAGGCATCCAAATCTTGCTGGGATGGAAATGCGGAGACCAAGATTTGCCTGGACACTACTGAGAAAAGCAAATGAGGCGAACTTCCAAACATGCAGCAAAAAGTGGAGTCGAGGCACGTCCCCTGCGGCGGAGTGGGTCCAAAAGTGCACTGGACCTGACAGCAACTCACAAATCTCACAGGTTGCCTGGGCGTGCTAGACCAGTTGCACGCTATTTGATATCCTGCCAGCTCTACCATTTCAGTTCAGGGTTCTTCTGAGAACGTGGGTCAGAGCTGTCAAATAGTCACTGGAGTGAATGTGACAATGTGGCACGCCCACTCACGATCTGATGTAGCATAAACAGGAAGTGCAGAAGCTGCCACATGTCAGGACAAGAATGGCTTTGGTGAAACCGCATGAAATTTCTTCAAAAAATATGTTGTCACATGATGTCACATGAAATAAATAGCGTTCTGAGTTCTGAGTGCTAGACTTCAGGCCGCAAACGTTGAAGGAGTTCCTTTTGATCCGTCGGAGTGGCGCGGCTCCATCCAGCCAGGCGAGCACTGCCAAAGCCGCCTAGGCAGTCGAGGAATGGTACTGGGCTGGGGCGACGAATCGCTATGCTAGGTGAATTCACGCAGTAAAGGTACGATGAGGCAGCAGAAGCTACTAGTAACAGGTGCATCGCTAGTAGTAACAAGTGCCTTACTAGTAGAAACAAGAAGCTACTAGTAACAAGAAGCTACTAGTAACAAGTGCCTTACTTCTAGTAACAAGTGCCTTACTAGTAGAAACAAGCAGCTACCAGTAACAAGTGCCTTACTTCTAGTAACACGTGCCTTACTAGTAGTAACAAGGACGCTACTAGTAACAAAAAATACACTGTTCAATACCGCTGCTCCATCACACTTTCTTGTAAACGGCAGCGCGTAAGACCAAGTGTTTTGGTGATGTGATCACGGTGCCTGGACACTGGTGGCCTGTTTGCATCAGGCCGGCTTTTTAGCCAGCCTCACAAGAGCATCCTTTTCACTAAGGTAGTCTTCAGGCACATGAGCAAGTGCCAAGTAGGGCCAAAGCATGGTGTCTGGCATATCTCCTTCGGGAAAGTCTTGCTGCCGTCGTTCTACAACCTCATCACGAAGTCTTTGCCATGTCATCTGGCCGCCAGCTTCCAGCAGTGCCGCTTCTGCATGTGCTCGCCAGATTTGGATTTCTGCTTCTTCCTGGTTTGCAGCGCCCAGGACCGGACCGCGGGTGAAACGACGATAGAGTGGGTCTTCCCCAGCTGGAACCCACTTGGCCCTAGCAGCTGCAAAAAAACCCTGGCCCCATGGGCCTTGCAAGCCTGGCTGTCCCTTCACCCGCCCTAGACCACCACGTATGCCACGTGCTTCCTTGGTTTTTTCCAAGCGTTCATTGAGAGCAACGAGCTCGTCAGGCGCAGCCATTGTTGAACAGATGGCCCGGCTTGAGCCCTGATGCGGCAACATACTGTAGTTCTAAGAAACCATGTTCAAACAAATCCTGAATCAATTGTTGCTTACCTTCCCCCCTGTGCCCTACACATGGGAAAATGGGTGCCTCACAAACAGACCACGGGCCTCGGTATTTTTTCCCTTTGGCAATCGGATTGTGGTGGCAAATCTTGGACACCACAAAATCGTGCGAAATCTCTCTTCTTCCCCTTTCCGGTCAACTTCTTAGATAATATTTCTATATATTTCTTGGTTGTCCAGCCACCCATCAGGACGTGGACACGGAGCTCGGTGAGCTTGGCTTCTTCTGCAACAAGTGGACGCACAAAATATGCCCCAGGTTTGCCTTATCGCGGCTGAGCGCTTTGCCGTTTACAACTCCCGCACTTTCGAAACAGCTGGCTGCCGGTGGTAGCATCCGCACGCTAGTATCCTGTGAGGGCCCAGGGGCTGCAGTTGAGGCCTCTTCTGTGTCTGAGCTCCAGGGCTGCGGCCTCAAGCGCAAAGGGAACAATTCAATCTTGGTCAAGCGACCGTCGGTCATCCAATTGTTTTCTCAGATGGCACCCCCATTCCGTTTCCGTCTCCGCTCTTGGTATGTAAGTATATATGTACCATAAAAAAACTTAGAAGTGAGGGGACGTAGACACTCAGAGAGACGTGTTTCGCCCAAAAACTCCAACCAGCGATGTAACAGTCTCCAACATTCTCCAACACTCCGACACAGACCCCCCTGATAACACCCTCTTCAATCGCAAGATTCACTTGAAATACTCGAAGAAGCACCTGCCGCGCCATCCTTTTGCTAGAGCCCGACCTTTTTTTGGAGGTGCCTTCTTTTTGCCCTGAAGTGGCCTCCGAACAAAGCCCAAAAAGGCAGCAACAAAACATCTCCGATCATCTCCTGAAGGTCTTTTCTGGTCCTCATGCTTAGTTTAGAATAAAAACCACTTTTCCAGCCCTTTTTCAAATTTCTGTTGCGAGATTGTCCTCAAACGAAGTGCGAAAACGCACCAACCCAGAAATGCGGTTTAAGGATGTTTTTTCGGCTCTCTGCATTTAGATTTGTCGAACACACGGCCGACTGTCTTTCCACACCTGGACCTGCATCGGCCATTCATCTAAAGCAGCAGCTCGCAAGATTCAATGAAGATGCTCAAAGATGCATCTGCCACGTCGTGCTTTGTCACGGGTCTTATCGCTACAACCCGCGACCTGTCCATTTCTGCCCTGAGACGGCCTTCAAACAAGGCGCAAAAGGGGCACCAACAAAAAGTCACCCTTAAGGTGCTTTCTGGAAGAATTTGGCGCTACCTCAAGATGGCCTGCAAACACACCGCAAAAGGGCGCCAACCCAGAAAAGCAGCTTCCTGCGTCGATAAGTCATTGTTGTCGTGTCCCGCTTCAGGGCGAAACATGCCTGCTTGTCTTCACAGCTGAACAAGAACAAGACATAGTCTTTCGACGTAATTTCTTTGCAGCTGCTTTAGAAATACCCCGTTGTACTGGCGTCCGGGGTCAGTACCGGATAATTTCCAGGGACTGACGGGTTTTTAGCCAAAACCGGTGGATAAATTTGAAGGCCAGAGGGCCAACATAAGGCCCCCCCCCCAAAAAAAAGTACACAACCAGTGCAGATAGATAATTTCGAGAAGGCCTGAGGTTAGCAAGCTAGACGAATAGGATCGAGGAACCCCCCCCCAAAAGTAGATGCTAACGAGACAAAAAGAAAAGATCCCAGGCCCAGGTTTTTTTCCAACGCTCTATGTGCTCTGTGGTGGTCTGCAAAACTAAGGATTGTTGCGGAAGTCTGCAAACCTTAGAAGGTTGGTTGTGGTTGTGGTTGAGGTTGGTTTGGAATCAATGGATCCAACCACTTGCAAAAGAATGTCGATTGCATGGCCCGCAGCGCTGGTCGAACTGTACATTTTGGTCGGTATTTTGTGGCCTTGACAGCCGCTCTGGACTTAGGAATGCCAGCAGGAGTTTATCAGGGTTACGATGCCCAGAGCGACCGGGAAGCAGCTTCTTTGTTGAACGGAACTTCTGCATTGAAATTGTTTTGTCCAGATGTCAGCGCACCTTTTTTTCTATATTCGCTGACGTTGAGCAATTTTTTTAGAAAGCTCTCCAGACCTAGCAGAAGCAGCAGAAGAAGATTAATTTCAGCGTATCCCACAACTTGTCATTTGTATATCTCCCCAACCTCAGTACCAAGGAAAATATCAAGGTCGCACATGTTTCACACGTGTCCTTTTCACAGGCTGCGAATCTCACGGAAGACCTGGTGCAGGATCCCGGTGAGGAAGACGATAACATGAACCTGGATGAGTATGAGGCCCCACCACTATTTTTCAGACTCCTCATGTCGAAACACAGGGTCCCACTGAGAATGATCCAGAGCTGAAAGGTGCTGACCAAGAGTGCTTCCAGCTGTTGGAGCAGTTGAAAGCCCGCGGTGACTGATGCTTTGACGTTCCGTTGGCAAGTTTCGCTGACAATTTTTTGGTTCTCTGTGATCATGACGTCCATGGAGTTCGGAAAATCTAACGAGCGGAAACCTAACGAACGTCCAACGAGTGATGTTCTATCTTTTCTTTCCTTTTCTACTCCCACTACCGAGTGGATAACATTGGAGCGTTTATTCTGGATGTTTTTGATGCACTGACCCCATTTTATCCACCCCCAAACAAATATCCATTCCTTACTTGGGTTGATTTTTTTTGGAGGACAGACCCCCTGGATAGGTTGCTGGCAGGCTGGCACACAGATAAAGTCCAGGCACTAGGCACTGACCCCTCCAATTTTATCCACTCAGTACGGCCCCCTATTTTAGAATACCAGCCTGAAGTTAGCGTTCCCAATTGGTGCCACTTTTCTTCTCCGTACCTTTACAGCCACACATGGCCTTTTCGTTGCCCGTTGGTCACGGTGAGTTTCGACCCACTGTCTCTTGGATCGCTTAGATGGCCTTCTACGCGTTCACTGCTTTTAGAACGAAACATGCGGGCAAACATTGCTCTTCAACGTGTTTTCTGTACAGAAAACGGGCCTTTGCTGATACCATACGTTGCCTTCTGGGTTGGGGTCTTTAAAGCGGTGACACGCCTGCTTGATCCTGCTTGCAGGTTGTTGTCTTGACAGCTGAGCAAGTATCGTCTAAAGACTCGCGCCTACATCGGTCCATACACCCAAATGGACTTCCTGATTCCTGCTGTCCCTGGAGTGGTGTCATGGCCACTTGGTGATGCTAAAAATACACTGTTGAACCTTTTGGCATCACTCGCATCACAAAAGCTCTTATAGAGGTGCATTTTGACAATCCCTTTTGAGCTCTCTCCCCAAGCAGGCTCTGGGTTCACCCTCCCTAATACTCACTTCGTTCGCCCATCTAGCACTTCAGCCTAGCCTGTTGGCAGGTTTTCGTTATACATATGAATATTATATAATCATACAAATGTACACAATTGTACATATACATACGATTACATACGCATGTCTGGTACTGGATTGTCTGCAATACTGCATAACATAAATTCTGCCCCTACATTCTTCCACCTGCATGAAAAACAAACCCAGGTCAAAGGAGCAGTCAATGCTAGAGGCAATCGAAGGCGCAGATATGCCATCACACAAACAGTGCGAGCAGCGGGTCACCAGTCAGTTGCAATCTTTGACCGCATTCTATCTCTACGAGCCCTCCATAACGTGCTGTCAATGTGTCCAACTATACGCTGGAATGAACAAGAGTTGCAAACGCTGCTTGGGCTGCACCATGTGAACCTAGGCAGTACCGCTAGCGAAACACTATTGGCAGGGTGAAAGTGGTGAAGAAGAAAAACACGTTCGAACCACAACTCTACCAAACCCAATCTGAATAGCCTCTAATTCAAGGCTTAATGATTCAAGGGGCCTGTTTGTCATTCTACCAGCTACTGAGCCAATTCTACGAATGGAGCGCTGCACAACTGCGGACTGATCACATTACCATCCGCCTGAGAGGCTTCTGACAGCTGATGTCAATCGGTCTACAATCCAAGATTGGAAAACTTCATTTGCCACTTTTGGCCACCAGCCAAACTTCTTTTGAGTCCAAGTGGCAGCCACTGCAGGCCGAATTAATATAAACAGGACAGGATGCCATCGTTCCCGAAGGCATGCCCTTCCGAAAGCCCAAGCCTTGTGTCTAGCAGTCTGGACAGGTCCTGTCAAGTGTCTCCCCGCTGCAGCTTCTGTACATCTGGGGGGCGACGCTGTGCCAAAAAGAGTGCAGTATGGCCTGCCAAGTCAAGTATGAACCCTTCCGCAAACGCCTTGGAAATACTGTATTACGGTAATATGATGTCTTGTGTATCTCTCAAGTTCCGTATCGGTCTTCCAGCTTTCGTGATGCTTTGCTGAAGCAGGACCTTGGCCCAACATGAAGTGTGTACAGTAGCTCGTACCTCTCGAGCCCTTTCCAGCAAGCGATCTCATGGCTCTGCAGCAGGAGCTGTGCCTGAGATCTCTCCAGCATCCCAACAACAACTCTAGGCACGTGGACCTGGACGTCTTTTTCCGCAATTCCAGTCGCGCAAAGTACCCGGAGTTCTTGTGTGCAAAGAATGCCTGCCTTTTCAAGTTGACGGTCCCTTTTGAAAGATTGCGCACGTGTTGCAACTGCATGGTGCACGACTTGAAATCCCGTCCCTGGCAAATGTTGAAATAGGGGATGCAATTTTCTTTCTGAACCAGGCACTTGGTGCTGAAGACTTTGTCACGGATTTGTGCGGTTGGAAGCAGAACTGCACAGCCAAGCCAATCAAGCCCAAGCCTGACAGGTCACGCACACAAATCAAGTTGGGAGTTCGTACACAGCATGCGGCTATACACTAACCCAATTAGAGTTGTAATACCGAAATTGCAAAACCCCACGTAAAGACAGAACTTGGAGTTGCAGTTACAGAAAGATTCTGAGGTGTCTGAAGCCTGGCAAAGTCAAAGGCCGGTTGGAGCATAATGTTGGATTAGTACCAGTATCTGCGGCCTGATGACACCCGATTTGCAACAAATCGTTGCCTATGAAAATTGCCAAATTGAAGATGTGATTCTCCAGGAGGTCGGAGTTGGCCTGTGAATTTGCATGTGTCCATCATGCATCACCATGTTTCTGTGAATCCCCGAGTCCAAAGTCCAGAACAGCATATGGTATCAGTAGTTGATAAAATTTCATAAAATCATACTTGTAGTAGATTGCTCCTAGTAGCTTCTTGCTCCTAGTAGTAAGGCCAGGAGCCCCTAGTAGCGTCCTTGCTCCTAGTAGCGATGCCCTTTGTTACTATTCCGTTGGAAAGGGATGGGATGTGTAAAGGTGGAACAGCATTCGCCCCACCTGCGTGCATCCTAGCAAGGCTTTGCCCCAACGCCAGGCTGCAGCTGCGCCCACAAAAGCTGTGACAAGCATGACCAGGTGCTTCACCCAAGTCCTTCAACTTGTGAATTGCGCCGACCGTGCTTGTGAATTCAAACGCGACAACCCGTGCTTGCACCAGACTCTTGCGGCAGCATCCTGCACAGGTAGCCTGTTAGCAAAGCAATTGGAACGCCCAGCGTGATGCCTGTGCAAAGCAGGAAATTTGCAATGTGCCCAGCTGTGTTATGGAATCATGGAGTCATGGAAAACGAAAAGTAACTATAGCCGCTAGTGGCCAGCATATGTACAAGAAAGTGTTTTATAGTGATAAGTAATAAGTTAGATGATCAACGGTCGATATTTGTGGAGTTGCAGGTCATCAGGATTTAGTGATTGCATTATCGTTCTCAATGTCCCTCACGTTAGTGTGTTTTATCACATTTCGAGCAAAACATGCATGTTGATATGACCACTCTGGCTGAACATGCGTCACGTTCACTAATTGAGAGCCTAGCTCAAAAAGATCAAAATCTCAAAAAGAACGGCAATGAAACTTCAAACCCTGCCTGCAAAATTCTCCCAGCCCTGACCCTTTGTCCCAAGAGCTTTGTCCAATGGCCTTTGTTTCTCGGGACGTGACTTCGCTATGCCACAGGCTCTCGCACTGTGTCACCGATTGTGAACATGTAATGTATGAGGCATATGAGGCCATGTCGACGCATCACGCATGCCTTCATCATCCGGAATATGCAAAGGACTAAGGTCATGAGTCATGTGCCATGCTCTGGGTGCATGCCTAATTCGTAGAAAAGCCGCGCTTGGAGGATGTAGAGCACAGCTATGGTGACCGCAAGGCCAAGGCAAGCGCCAAAGACAAAACCTATGATCTTTTCAACATTCTCTTGGTATCTGCGAGCCAACACCTGGGCTGCTTGCTGAGGGCAAGTCTTAAAATGGACAGCTGCCTTTGGTATAGACGCTTCATTGGTACAGTAAAGAGATTGATTTTCACAGAAGTTTGCCATGAAAGTTTCCCAAAAGGTGCTTGAGGTGGCTTTGTCCAAAGCACACCGGGAAATCATATAAATTATGTGCTCGCTTCCGAGCAGCAAGGAAAAGCGTACCCCAAAGGATGGAGCACACAAGGACAATGACCTAACAATTTGTCAAGGTGGACAAGCGGTACAACTTAATTTATGATGAGCCAACAGGATTCTCATCATGTAGTGCCGTATGATGTCGAATGTCTTCGGCCCAGCCTTCTCAGTGAGACCCTCCTCGTTGCCCTGGGCAATCCATGCAGAGCCAACTGCAGCTTCGAAGCCAAATCCCACAATGAAGGCAAAGACTGCGAAGGCCAACTGACAGGAATCAAAAATTGACCGGAAGCTGAAGTTTGAAAACTCTAATGGGCGAACGAAGCTTCTAGGAACAAGTGCATCGCTAGTAGTAACAAGTGCCTTACTAGTAGTAACAAGTTAGAATAATTAGAATTAAATTAACTAATAGCTTCTTGTTTCTACTAGTAAGGCACTTGTTACTACTAGCGATGCACTTGTTACTACTAGCGTGGCACTCTAATGGGCGAACGATGAGGGTACGAAATAACACCTTGTAGATTCGGTAGCCAAAGAAGCACACGGCCTGAGTCCCATTGGCCACCGCGAACTCACCAAGACTCACCAAAAATACTCACATCCAATGATTCTAATCAGCACTATTGACCGTCTTTTCTCAACAGGTGTGTTTGCAGCCCAGAGGGCTCAGCATTTATATAAGTGAAATCTCACTTCTGCCCAGTGGCCAAAGCCAACAAGCACAATACAGCAACTGAAATTCCCCCAATGGTATCGCATGCCTGAGCCGACGCTGCCAAGTAGGACCACAAATTTGGAACACTGCCGAGGTATGCTATAAAGTTTGTAAAGACTAGCACCCACTCAGCCAAAGAGTCTGTCAACTGATTGGATTTCTTTTGATAATAGTCCAAAACCAAGGATCGCAAAGTTCAGGGGGTGCTTTTCTTGTAGGGGGGACAGCACATACGCTCTTGTCAAGCTTGCTGTGCAATATTCATCCCACCTGCAAGTTGTCCAAAGGTTGCAGTGCGTCATGCAACTGCTGCTCAATGGCTGCATGCACCTGTGACATCTTTTTGAGACCTTGGTTGGCACAGTCAGGAGATATCAAGGGCCAGCTGGGGGCCCCGCTGCCCGATGCTATGTATGCAAGGTTTTGGATGTCACTCTCTCTCAGTAAAGCAAGAAAAGCTTCAATAGATGTTAGTCGTGCGCATGTGTGTGCGTGAAGTTTTCAAGGGTGTGCACATTCTTCGACGGAAAGTTGACAAAACACAACAGGAGGTCACCTTGAGCCCAAGTGCCGCTTTGCAAACACAAGAGTTCGTATTTGAGCCAGATCACTGCAGCACTGCAGCGTTCCCTGCCGTAGTCTGCATCGAAACAATCTCAGCAGTTGTCAAATCTACGCATACTTTATAGCATTTTATAGCGGAGAGTTGCAGTTGATTGAATCTTCCCTGCAGGTGCTTGAGACCATGCGCAAGGCAACAATGAGGCGTATTGGACTATAATTAGTTACAGTGTGGTGGAGTGTAAAGGTTACATTACATTACCGGTCAGTCATAGGTGGCATGGCTTACAAAGGAATCAAAGCCGCCGCCGCCGCCTTTGATTCACTGATGTTTTAGGGTTGCAGGCCAGAGGCCAGAATCCTCCGATTCTTCGCACGAAGGCCATACCTTTTGTCATTTCTCACTGTCTGCCCGCAAGCGCTCGCACTCATTCTTGAACGCTGCAGATTCTCGCCTCAGGCGAAGCGCAACAGCGATACGCAAATATTACAAATCAAGCATTTCCTCTCCCTTCACAGCGGAATCAGTTGGAGCAGCGGAAATTCAATTGAAAGTCTGTTGCATTGCTACGTGGTCCGAACGAGGACAATCTGGGGATATCTGGGGAAAGGAATGGCCTCTGTAAGGCGTCCTGCCCCATAGTCACGTTTTAACGAGCTGTATACCATAGTCATGGCAGCCTGCTTTGTCAATCAGGATTCGTCTGGAAATATAGTGTAATATATATATATATATCTAGACTATATCTATATATAATGTACACTAGCAATGTGTTTGTTTAAATGCCACATTGGGAAGTCTAGCGTGACTGATCACAGCCCAACCTTGTGGGTATTGCCAGTCTAAACGGGTGTGCCTCAAAGGCCTGCGATGAACTACCATGGTGCGAACGGACCTCGGTTCCAAATCACGCAACAATGAGGGCATGTTAAAAATGAGGTTGTGCATCCACCAACGCAGCAGAAAGGAGCTCAGCAACCAATCCAACATATAAATAACAATGCCAATGCAAAACAGAAACTTCCAAGCTTGTCTGCAACCCTACAACAGAAAACTTGAGGAGAGCGGCACTGGCCCAAATGCTGGTGTTTGCTCATGGTGTGGCTGATACCTGCGCAGGTCCCTATAGCAGGCACAGGAAGCTTCACAACTCACCCAGCCTGAGAATAGATGCAAAACGAGTGATCAGGAACCATAGGTAGCACTGAGTTAATTTCTCAAAGCTCTCCATGTACCTGAATGAAACATTGCCAATGTGCTATGCCGTGTGATTGTTTCAACAACGAAACCACTTGCCTGTTAGCATTGCGGACCATTTCCTCAAAAACATCGAGATTATGGTCAAGGCCGGTGCGTCCATGTGCGACCCCACTTGGATTCTGCAAATTGTCGCGCTCTTTCTCTCCTGCATGTCGTCGTCATGCTCTTGTGCCCACCTGACCTGGCAAGATTAAATTTCTGAAGAACGAGAGATGTTGCGAACCCAGCGGGTTAGAACACCTTCTCTCCGGCGTCGTCCATGCCAATCAATAGAATGTGGCGTCTATCCTCCATTCGGCTGTGCCGCTGTTGAAACTGTTCTCAACGACACATGACGTGCTTTCGTTATCACTTCAAGCCAAATCAGCTTCAATAAGCACCCCCTTAACACAAGACATTTATGTATATAACTTGATATGCATGTGTGTGTGTGTGCAGCAACACCCGCAAAAGGAGGGAAGCCCTGAGAATCAGCAGTGGCAAAGCCGTGGTCTTTCTTTATCCGTCAGATCTTCAGTGTATGTTGTTAAACACGTGTGGAATAGATAGCCTGGCCGGTATTGTGCTGCACGTTACATACACATTGGATACAATCAGGCACATTCCAACTTGCGGGATGTTGCACTGTCAGTCCGAAGCAAGCGAGTCAAGTCTGATTTAATTGGCTCAACATTTGGACAGGCAGGCCAGAAGTGATATGTACAGTAATTAGTTAGTTAAATGTCACATGTGTGAATGTGCCCACGTGTGCACACTTCTAAAGCAAAGTCTATCCTGGAGCCCGCCATGGTAATGCTCGTAGACAGGCGTTGCTCCATGCACCTTCACCTCATAGATCAGCCAATCATCTGCCCATAAAAAACACGTGAAAGGATCAAACGAGAGGACAAAGACGAGCAAAAAAGACAGCAGCCTCGCCAAGTCACATCATTCAGGAAGAGGACTGCAGAGCTGGCTGTAAGCTTTTGCTTCAGCGAACCCGAGTATCCGTTTCCTCGGAACGCATTGCGGTCGCATGTCAACAGTGGGTAATCTTCTTGACCGACATGTCGCATCACGACATCCTGGATCCCACCAAACATTGGACAGGCAAGAAGGATGAAGAAGGAAACCAAACCAGGCTACCAGGAAGGTCTAGAAGGTATCGCCGGCGAGGCCACCTGAAACAGCTTCAGGGATGCAACAAGCTGTGCAAGCTTCGCAGTTGTTCTTCAAACTTGATCTTAACAGGCATTGTTTGCTTTACCTTTCTGAATTTCTGATATTTCTGTACTAGGGCATCAACTGATCCAATGGGACGAAACTAGGATCAGTGTTGACCTAAGCTTCAATATTTGTCACGGTCACCCACCTTCGACCTGCTGGGCAAAGACATTTGAAAGTGTGCTGCTGGTGTCGATGAAAATTGATAACTGTGCTGTGCTGTAAGGTTGAGGCCACTGTTGCGTTCAGCAAGTCATCGTCCAGAAAGGCCATGTCCTTACATAAATAAAAATAAAGTGTATGAGGGACGGTCAAAACTCCTTACTGTATTTTTCTTCAACGACAAAATGGACGTCATCGGTTTTGAGTTGGACCTTATCGTTTTACAGTGTTTTGAGTTCGTCGCATACATATGATCATATACCGCGCTGGGTTTATCGGTTTTGAGGTGGACCTTATCATTTTGCAGGGTTTTGCACACAAACCTACCCCAATACTAAAGTGGTCTTCGCATGGTTTGACCGTAGCTCATATATATATATATATGTGTGTGTGATATATATATATATATGTGTGTGTGTGTGTGTTGTTTCTTTTTTGGGGGGGAGGGGTAGGCCGGAAGGTAGGAACAGTAGCTAGTTAGGTAGCTAGTAGAAGAGAGGTAGCTACTACTTCTGCTACTATTTACTGGACGCAGGATAGCTCACGCTTCTTCAAGGAAGCTCCCCCCTGAGGGTGGGGGGAGCTTCCAATTGTGCGATTCCATTGTAAAATAAAAATCTAGGAACCACAATGAATAGTGCGAGCGCTTCTTCAAGGAAGCTCCCCCCCATGGAATGAATTGAATGAATCCATCAACAAATCTAGACTTCTTGTGGCACCTCTGTCTTAAGCCTCTTGCGAAGTCATCGTTGTCTGCCCACGCGTCCAGGAAGCGCTTCCTGCCAATCTCAAGACATGAACCACAAAAGCAGGACCAACTTCTCTTTCTCACTTCTGCCTCTCCTTTTTCTCTCAGGCAAATGTTTGATCATGCCATGCGGACCAATATTTCAATCAAATGGGCGGGAGCATGAGTGGTGACGGCAAAAAAAAGTGCTCAAAAGAGTCCTGGGGGAACCTTTGTACATATCCCGCACCTCAATGGCCTTGGCAGCTCGATAGCAGAAAGTACGTTGCAGTTCAAGTTTGCTGGCATCTAAGGCTGCATCCCAATTCACGGCACCTCTGTCGGTGCCCCTCCAGAAAGCAATGGGTAGCTTTTGCTCCCAGGGTATGGGAGACATTCCAGACCTCGGTGCCCGAAGCATATTACAGTACATCAAAACACATCTAGCCCATCTAGCCTTTGACCCACCAGCTGCTGGTATCCAGTTGAGCCCTCGACATGTTCACCAGCGCAGGTCGGCAAACCTCGCAAACTGTTCTCAGTTCTAAGTAAGATGTCTATGGCAGTCATAAGTCCAAAGCCTAACCCCTTTGAGGATAGCACGTTCGGGAAAAGGATATCCCAAAAATCCTCTGATGCACAAATGCTGAATAGCGGCGCCGGAGTTCTTGCCTGCAGAGAACCGAAACTGCAAGGGTACGGCGATTGCATGCAGATTCCGAGGCCTCTTTGTCCATTGGTCCATAGAAAGGTGGTTTGTGGCTTGCTTTCCTGCACAAAATCAATAACAATCGCACCTACTAGACTTATTCAATACTGGCACAATGTTTTGTCATTGCATGCTGCGTTCCATTCTGCTTGACCCGTAGCGGTCCTGAGGAGGGGTAGATCTCCGTGATTCAATACGATGTCGAAGTCGGGCAGCTCCACACTTGCCTTGCTGGCAGTGCCAATCGTGCCCAAATCAAAGCCCCTCATCTGAGATCCGAACCAGCAAATCTAGGAGCCTTGGCTGCCCAAGCAAAACATCTGAAGCGGATGAAAGGTTGGTAAAAATGAAAGAGTACGTTCACAAAAAGCGAAAAGAGAGTTCATCCCATAGACGCTGAGCAACCCAAGATCCCGTTTCAACATATGCTTGCTGAGGACAGCAAACTCAGGTTGATATATGTCCTATTGTTTAATAATGTTTATATAATATGCCACCTTTGAGACCACCTTTGGTGACATCACCTCCGAGCTTCACACGCATGCGCAAGGCAGGTCGGCTCCGTGGCCCCGAAGTCTACGTCCAAATGCGAGTGTGTAGGGATCACCTGGAGCACCGAGCAGCACAAATTCTACCAAGTCTCTGGTGCAATCAAGTCTGACCCCCTACAAGTACTAATACAAAAAGCGAAAGGCTAAATTTCTAGGAAGAAAGATCTTGGCACCTTAAACGCCAAAAACAAATTCTATGAGCCAAGCGCAACACGGCTATCCAATCCTGACTCTCAAACATGACAGCACTTTTTGGCGTGGCTATGGGTCGCATTGACGCCTGGAGCCTCATGTGCTCACAAGCCCAAGCTGATAAGTAGCCACAATCATGGCGCAAGTATGCTGGCACCCACCACTTCATCAGATTATGTAAACCGAACTAGCCCGTTGGTCGGCAATTTGCATTCACGACCCTTTGAGGCAGCTCTCCGGGAACCGTATTGGCTCCAACAGCATCAAGTTGAGCTGGAACGGAATGCAACGGCTAAGCTGCATCAAGATCACGACTCCAGCTGTTGCTGTAGCATTTGGAGTCTAGGAGTCTTGAGGAATCTTTAGCTCAGCTCTCTTTCTTTGACATACCTGATCGTTGACAAAAGCTTTGGCAAACTTGTTAACCAGCTAATAATAAGTGCGCGATGAGCAAGCAACAAAAAAGCCAAGGTCTTGGTGCTGCTTTGAGGCTGACCCTTCATCTCCTCCTGGCCCAAAAAAGGCTTGGCGTCTCGGAGTCGGCAAAACACCCTTCCAGTTGCATCATGGTTATACTGCAGGTTGTCCATTGCTTTCTATGTTGAAACTTTCCACTCTGGTCCTGCTCCTGCAGCTCGGGGCACGAAGCAATCCTTGGCGGCATCCTAATCCTAGTGCTCGAAGGGCCAAAAGACCATGATCGTTTCTCAATGCAGGCAGGAACACTTGCTCATTCGGGGGCAATCATGTCAAAAGTTTGAAGAGACTTGTAGATTTGTTTGCTCCAACCACTGTCATGTGTTGTTGGATGTTGCTGGGGTGCCTGCTCGTGTGATGGCATACTAAGGGCACAACAACTGCCATGCGACTTAGGTTCATGTCTTCAATTACTTGGTCCAACTGCTGCATTGCTTGCGGGTCTGATTCATCACCTGAGCAATGAACCCAGAGGACAAACTTCACAAAAGGAAGGCTTGAACAAAATGGTGTTCCGGAATTGGGGTAGTGAGAGCAGCACAGAAAAACAAAGGGTCACACCAAAGCCTGCTCCAAATGATCCAAGTTGCATGTCAAATGGTGATACTGCAACTTTCTAACCTCCTCTCGTTCTGCTGCCTCCCCAGTTCAAAGCAACAGCGTCACGGCATACCCTGTTCTGCGCAGGCTCGTGCCAAAGAAGCCGATAAGCATCCATGAGCCGATAACTATGCAGGCCAACAACCCGTGCAAGACTAATAGGATGGAGGCCACCGCAAGTAGGATGGAGGCCATCGCTATTAGCATGGAGGCCATCGCAAGTAGGATGGAGGCCATCGCTATTAGGATGGA